GAGGAAGCAGGAAGATGACAGAAGTAAACCAGGACTTGGAGAATTGGTTGTAAGTTGAATATATGGTATTGGGCTGGGATAGTTCCAGAGGAACTGGACAAGCCAGAAATATGAGGTAGAAATTCTCCAGCTATGTGTTGCAAAGTAGAATCTGGTGGGAGTCACAAGATCCTCAAAGAAGAGTCGGTAGAACATTATGATGCAGCAGGGCATCATGGCAAACACCTGCAGTTCCACTTAATCAAGAGGAACAAGCATCATGGCCTGAAGCCAGCTGGGGCAAGAACACAGGATTCTAGCTGAAAATAATTGAAATACAAAAGGGCTGAAGTGACAGAGTGTCTGCCTAGCTCTCTCAAGGCCCTGCATTCAAACTTCAATACTGAAAAAGAAAAAAAAAAGCACATTAAGCCCAGAGGCTCACACCTATCATCTTAGCTACTCAGAACAATGAGATTGGAAAGATCACAGCTCAAGATCAGCTTGGGGGAAAATAAGGAAGAAAGAAAATAAAATGACTGGGAACAATAGAGTGTGCCTGTCATTCTGCCTACATTGGGAACATAAATAGGAGGATTAGTGTCCTGGCTAGTGGATCAAAAGGTAAGAACATGTTCAGTAAAATAATAAAAGCACATTAGGCTAGAGCAGTACTCAAATGGTAGAGAACCTGCCTAGCAAGAGCAGAGCCTTGAGTTCAAACCTCCAGACCAAATATGAAAGACAAGAAAGAACGTTTTTGTGCATCACAGTACCAAGGATGATGGTTAAGACAAACGGTCTTGGCCTTCAGTTCATAGGCCTGAATTGGTCTTTGGACGTCTTGTAAATGTAGGAACAGGGTTCATGAAGGATTAATCTGGAGGTAGTTGTTTATTGGACAGAAGAGGGAGCTAAGCAAGGATTCTGAGCATGGCTGCATCCTTTGATGTTCTTGAGACTTCATCAAGGAGGAAGATCAGAAGCCTGACAATGACCATGGAGTCTTGTTGAGAGAGACTGGGGATGCAAAATGGAAATTTTACAATTCCTTGAGCATGAGGGATAAAGCCAGGGAGAGGAGGGAAAAGACATCCTGGGGGTAAAAGTGATTTTGATTGAGCCACCTGCATTTGAAGTGTCCACAGAAATTATTAAAAGAGTAAAAAAAAATCTGAAGAACAATTAGCTGCAGAAATGAAGATAAAAATTAAAGCCAGAAGCTGGATGCAGGTGGCTCATGCCTATAATCCTAGCTGAGATCTGAGGATTGTGCTTCAAAGCTAGCCCAGGCAGAAAAGCCAGTAAGACTTTCTCTCTAAGAAAGGAAGTGAGAGAGAGAGAAAGGAAGGAAGAAAGGAAGGAAGGAAGGAAGGAAAGAAAGAAAGAAAGAAAAGAGAGAAAGAGAAAGAGGGAGGAGGGAGGGAGGGAAAGAGAGGAAGGAAGGAAGGAAGGAAGGAAGGAAGGAAGGAAAGAAAGAAAGAAAGAAAGAAAGAAAGAAAGAAAAGAGAGAAAGAGAAAGAGGGAGGAGGGAGGGAGGGAAAGAGAGGAAAGAAGGAAGGAAGGAAGGAAGGAAGGAAGGAAGGAAGGAAGGAAGGAAAGAAGGAAGGAAGAGAGTTGGCAGTGAAGCTGTGTTTCAAATGGTAGAGTGCTAGCCTTGAAAAAACGCTCAGGGACTGTGCCTGGGCCCTGAGTTCAAGCCACACAACTGGCACCAAAAGTAAGTTAAAATAAAAAGCCAGAACAAGAACTTTACTTTTATTGTGAATAAGCTGAATGGAGCTCTTCATTGGAATATCTTTGTTCAAAAGTTCAGCAGCAGGCATGAGAAATGCATAAAAGAGAAGAGAAAAGGGCTGGGTTAGATCCCCAGGGACCAGCTACACTTTTAAGATACATCAGAGAAAGGAAATCCTGCCTCTAGCCAAAAAGAAAAAAAAAAAAAAAAACCCCTCCACATACTGAGAAGCAGCCAGGAAGCACAGGTCTCAGGAGACAAACAAGCAATGAGGGTAGAGGATCAGAAAGGCCTAGACCAAGCCAGCTGAAAATGGGAAAGTGTGCTTTGCAAAGGAAGAAAGCTCATGTCATCGTGGCTCAACCTGTGTCTTTCCAAGCGAAGTTCTTTTCATCTTTACTAAAACCTCTTCCATTCCCAGCCATGGACTTCTAATCATAGAGCAGGTTTTATAGTGGCCAGCTGTGGGTCTCTTCCCTGGAAGGGCTCCTGCCCACACCCACAGTGGCCTCCTTCCTAGGAGTCCCCTCCATGCTGAAGCCTATTAGTGGTCTTGACAACTCTGTTTGCCCCCAGAAAGTGAACCCTGCTGAGTTTAGGCCTATCAAACGCTCAATCACAACCATCTGCTGTAGGCCTGGGTGAAGACTCTGAAATCAGTCAATATCCTGGCCTGTAAATTCTGTTATACATATGTATTTGTTTCTCTGAAGGGTTGTTTTATTCTTCTGCTTCTTAAAGGATCTGGAATAGATTGTATTCTCTCTAGAGAAGCTTCCTGCTGTAATTTTCTCTCTTCATGGTACTTCAAAGCCCTTGCCTAAAAATGGTGCCATATTGGATAGGTCAACACAGGCATGGTGAAATGCTGACTGTGGTTCTGTAGCATCTTGCTTTACCTAACAAATACGCATGCCCAGGGAGTGTGGCTTCTCATAATCATGTCTTCTGTTATTCTCTCATTTCTGTCTAATAGTATTATAGAGCAGGGATTCCGATGTTCATTTCCCAAAGGAGGAAGTTAAGGCTGAGAGAATGTAATTTAAAGAATATAATCAGGCTAAGTCCTAAACAAATGTTAGCTGGTATTACTATTATCTCTTAATATAATAAACCCCTTGTTATTGATTGGCAATAGACTGGGTTTTGTTTTATATGCATAACATCTTTTTTTGTTACCCTGAAATTTGATATTCATGATAACACACAGCTTTTTAAGTAGTTGTATTACTAAGAAATACAACTCTCATAGAGTAAATCTGCTTTCATAGTAGATGCAACATTAAATGAAGTCATGGGTGTCTGTGTCTTTACAGATTAAAGGTTAAAATGGCCAGTTAGACTGGTTAGTGTAGTGGTTAAGAGACTAGGCTTTTGAAGCTGACTTGGACTTAAGTTTTACCCAAGAGTATTCCTTGCTATGGCTATGAATTAAGTACCAGATTTATCTTGAGGGTTTTTTTTTAAAACGTGGAGGTGTACCTGCTAAATTTGCATCTGGATCTAGAAAGAGAAATCGCTATCTGTGTTTCTGTCTTGTCTTAGAGAATGTCACAGTAGGTGCAGCATCTTGGCTCTTGGCACCTGTCTTCTGCATCTGGTGCTCCACAAATGAGAGCTGACCCTGTCATGAGCAGCACAGCTTATGAGAGTCAATATTGCCTATACCCACACCCATACTTACACACGAGGGAGAATTATGTAAACCTTAATACAAAAGCAGCAGGTGTGGGCAGTAGGGAACCTTTCTGACAGACAAACCAACCCAAATAGTACATGAAACACTAAAATGTAAAGGATTTTTACAAAGTGGCCAGGCAGTTCTCTGAAACTAGGATGAGAAGAGCTGCAGGATAAAGTAGCATCTTTTGACTGCAATACCAATTAAAAACACACAGCTCTTCAGTGAAGTGTGTGCTCACTGCTGTTTGATGAATGGAGATTCTTTAATTAAAATACAATTTTGTACAATATCACTTTATGGGTTGTTTTCATGATGAATTTTAAAATGATCAAGGACACAGAAGCAACTTAATTGGTTGAATAAGCAATTTTGCTTCCCGATGCCTATAGTGACAACATTGTAGAACTGGGGAAAGCAGGAATCCTGACCTCCGTGAGTTCAAACCAGACTGCTTGTAGGAAGACAGATTCTAGAATAATGGCAGTGGCGAGGCAGAGATATTCAGAGATAGCTGTGCACTAATGCTGCTTTCTTCTGAGGGCAGCAGCTAGGAGAACCAGCAGCCTTTTAAAGATGGGTGGAGTCTTTTCTCTGGCTTGCCTCTTCCTGTGTGCTGTGTAACCTGAGCTGAAAGAACAAGGCAGGCGTGGCTTGTGTGTGTCAGCTCTTTACAAACAAGATGGTAACTGCAGGTGCTGTAATCGAACAAACGGTAGAAAATGGGCATGCCTATCTACACTAGCTCATGTTGAGCCCTGGAAGGATCTGGTGGTTTTCATTAGAGTCTATCCTAACCCTGTACAGTCAACCTCATAGGCATTGGAGTAATGTGGTTCTAAATCATGAGCAAGTCTTTGTGATATGATAGTGTGATATTAGTGAGCGCCAACAAGCATGACTCAGAAGCACTTGTCATATACTTGCACATACTGTTAACTTCATGCAGTTATGGCAACTTCTTGGGAGAGTCCTCAGAATGTAAAAGTATTATCACTTTATTTGGTTGTGGGTTAAATTTTAAAGTAGAACTTTTGGGGTTGAGGATTTAACTCAATTGTAGAGCTTGTACTTAGCACAAACATGACCTTGGCTTTAATTCTCAGTACAAAAGGAGGGGGAAGAGAGGAAGGAAGGAAGAAGTGAAGGAACAGAGGGAGAGAGAGAGAAAGGAAGGAAGGAAAGAAGGAAGGAAGGAAAATCCCAGTACAAAAGGAGAGAGAAAGAAAGAAAGAAAGAAAGAAAGAAAGAAAGAAAGAAAGAAGGAAGGAAGGAAGGAGAGAAAAAAAGGAAGAAAGGAAGGAGAGAAAGAAAGAAGGAAAGAGGAGGCAGAAAGGAAGAAAGAGAGACAGAAAGGAAGGAGGAAGGGAGGAAAGCAAGGAAGGAAGGAAGGTAGGAAGGAAGGAAGGAAGGAAGGAAGGGAAGGAGGGAGGGAGGGAAGAAGAAAGGAATATCCTAGGAGAGGGGGTTGTTATAGTACTTTCATATATGTTTTTAAATATTTTGTTTGCCTTACAACTTTGCCAAGAAGTAATTATTTCATGTTTTCACTTTTTCGTTTTCTCTGGGAGAATAAGTGCTATGCAAATTGCTGTTTCCTAGGCTTGAGACGATCACAGAATGGCTTTGCTTGGACTGTTCTCTTTGCTGCTTTTGCAAAGCCTGGCCACAGAAGCCACTTTTCCTGATGACCCCATTGCTGAGTTGCCGGTGCATCTGTACCACCACCTTCGAGCCTCAGGGGAGGAGGAAAACATTCTCTTCTCTCCGCTAAGCATTGCTCTTGCCATGGGAATGATGGAACTCGGGGCTCGTGGGTCTACTCTGAAGGAAATCCGCCACTCCATGGGCTACGACAGCCTGAAAGAGGGCAAGTGTTCTTGGCTTTCACATCTCGCGATGACCTGACTTGAATTTGATTTAAGTTAGATTGTCATACATCAGAGGCAGCAGTTAGGGGAGGATAAAGTATGGGATGATAAAGCTGAGAGAAGGATTAGGAAAGAAGTGTGAGTTCCTGACTCCAATCATGGCTGAGGGAATTGAAGGAAAAGATATCATTTAAAAAGTATTGTTGTTAAGGCTGTGTGCCAGTGGCTTGTGCCTTTGATCTTAACTACTCAGGAGGCTGAGTTTTGAGGGTCCTTGTTTTGAAGCCAGCCTGGACAGTAAAATCTCTGAGACTCTTATCTCCAATTAACTACTAAAATGCTGGAAGTGGAGCTGTGGCTCAAGAGGTAGAATGCTAGCCTAGAGAAAAAAAGCACAAGGACAGTGTCCAGGCCCTTAGTTCAAACTCCAGGACCAGCACACAGCATCTATTATCTATATCTATATCTATCTATATATTTATCTATAGGTACATGGATATATATGTTTAACCTCTATAAATTTAGATATGTCTGTTTAAACAAACCGCATTCTGATAAAGAATTACAAAATTGATACTGAGGTTTCAAGTCTAGAAAGAAGGCCCTATAGTAAATTATAATATAAAATAGAGAACGACAAATGTAATGACTATAATAACTGTTTCATAATCATTACCTTTGAAGAAAGGTAACATGGCTCTCTAAAAATCAGACATTTTGCTTAAAAATCAACTGCATCCTCATTGTTTAAATGACATCTAAGAATTTTTTAAATGTCCTATTATAAAAATGATATGTGTTGGGGTTAAATTTCTGTTCACAAAGTACTTTATACTTATTTTAACATGGTGTAAGATTTCTATTTGATGTGTCTAATCTGCATATGAATTGATTTATCAGAAAGTTAGGATCTACAATAATTTCTAATGGATTTTGTAGTTATAAATTATACTATTGTAAATCTTTTAAAGATTGAAAATGTCTAATATGAGTAAAATTTAAAGGAGCAGTTAAATTTTAAATTAGGCAATTCAACTAAATTCTTGATAGTTACAAAATATAATACTATGACTCTTCTGAAAATAACCTGAGTACTTTAAAACAAGTCAAAAAAGTATTTTGTAAATTCTTCCAAGATAATAACAAAATCAAAAGTAGTAGCCCAGCACTGGTAGCTTACATCTGTAATCCTAGCTACTCAGAAGGCTGAGATCTGAAGATCACTAAGCCAGCCCAAGTAGGAAAGTCCATGAGACTCTTATCTCCAATTAATCACCAGAAAACCAGAAGCAGAGTTGGGGCTCAAATTGGTAGAGTGCTAGCTTTGAGCAAAAAAAGCTCAACAACAGTGCCCAGGCCCTGAGTTCAATCCCCACAACTGACAATAAAAAAGTAGTTATTTCTGGGGATATGGCTCAGTAGTACTTTTCTAAGCCCAGGGTTTGATTCTTAGCAAAGGAAAAAATGGGAGGAAAGAAGGAAGGAAGGATGGAAGGAAGGGAGGGAGGAAGGAAGGAAGGGAGGATGGAAGGAAGGAAGGAAGGAAGGAGAAAGAGAAAGAAAGAAAGGAAGAAAATGAAGGGAGGGAGGAAGGGAGGAAGGAAGGAAGGAAGCAAAGAGTATCTGTTGATAGTATTAAGCTGCAAACGTTCATTTGAGCCAATAGAAACAATACAAGCACCAGAGTGTCCTTATGGTGTCAGGTAATAACTAGGCAGCCACGCATGCTCCCTTGGGCCCAGTCTTCCTTTTGTTCCTTGCTTAGTTTTGATGCTCTGTACTCTTTGTAGATCTTCCACCATGTTTGTTTCAGTAATAAACTTGTCCTTTGTCTTTCAGGTGAAGAATTTTCTTTCTTGAAGGATTTTTCTAACATGGTAACTGCTGAAGACAGTCAATATGTGATGAAAATGGCCAATTCCCTCTTTGTGCAAAACGGGTTCCATGTTAATGAAGACTTTTTACAAATGATGAAAAAATACTTTAATGCAGAAGTAACTCATGTGGACTTTAGCCAAAATGTAGCTGTGGCCAACACCATCAATAAGTGGGTGGAGAATAACACAAATAGTATGTCTTTCTTACTCTAATGTCTTGGTTTCAACAATCTCTTCCTTTTTTATTATTATTATTATTTTGGTTGGTCATGGGACTTGAACTCTGGGCTCTGGGCCTGGGCACTGTCCCTGGGCTCTTCAGTTCAAGGCTAGTGCTCCACTTCTTCGAGCCACAATGCCACTTTAGCCAGGTGCTGGCTCACCTCTATAATCCTAGCTACTCAGGAGCCTAAGATCTGAGGATCGCAGTTCAAAGCCAGCCCAGGCAAGAAAATCCATGAGACTCTTATCTCCAATTAACCAACTCTTACTTTTGGAACAGTTCACTCGGTCCTTTTGCATTTGAAGGGTTCATAGTCTTGAACTGAGTGTCTGGTAATGACTCTTGTATTAAGGTCCATTTTAGAAATATTGTTTTTGAATGAGCATTGAAGAAAGATTTATCTGTTGGAATGTACAGAATTTTGGCTCTGATCATCTGAAATCTATACTTTCTGATCAATGGGTTTTCTGTGTTTCATCATATTAACTAGTATATGGAGTTTTCAGCTATTTAAAAATTAGTTATTATTTAGAATGACAATTAGTGACTCTTTTTTATTAACTTTATTTCTTTCTTGTATATGTGGTTCCTAGCCAAACCCAGGCCTCATACATGCTAGGCAAACACTCTACCACTGAGCCAAATTTCTAGCCCCAATTAGTGACTCTTTTAATACCATGGCTACAATAGATGAAGAGAGAAAAAGACATAAAAATTAGAGTTTAAAGGTATTTATTGGCTTTACAACCAAATTAGTTGAATAAAAACTAAAAACAATTGAATGTTTCATTTTTTTAATAAGAGCTGCCCATTTTAAGGGCAAGTGAGTAGAAAAGAATTAGAATTAGAGGCGTGTATTATCAACTTAATTTCTAATTCATATTTTAAATGTAATTGAGACATATTTTATCATTTTATTTTCCAGTTTTACCAACAAAGCAATTGAAATCAGAATCTAAAAACTGAGGCATTTTGAAATTACATTAATATACTTGTCATTAAATGTCAAGACTTCCAAAATAATGTTAGTACAATCAGCTAATCAGACACCAGATATTCTGTAAGTCACATGACACTGAGCCATTTTCTACCTCAGGTGACTACTAAAATGAGAAAACTGAGCAAATTTTGGTCCTATATTTTTCAATAGTGAGACTAAATTGTATGATAACAAAATCTAGTTTTAGTGTTTTTTGGCATTTAAAAAATAAATCAAGAATAATATTCTATTTTTTTTCTCCGTCGTGGGGCTTGAATTCTGGGCTTGGGCACTGTCCCTCAGCTCTTCAGCTCAAGGTGAGCACTCTACCACTTGAGCCACAGCACCACTTCCAGTTTTCTAGTGGTTTATTGGAGATAAGAGTCTCATGGACTTTCCTGCCTGGGCTGAGATCCTCAGATCTCAGCCTCTTGAGTAGCTAGGATGAAAGGCGTGAGCCACTGGCACCCCAGCTTAATAGTGTAATTTAAATGTATTGAATAATTAAAATCTATTCATATTCCAAGTCTTTTAGACACATTTAGCAAAAAGGAAAGATCTGAAATCTTTCTGAGTGGCTCTGAAAGGGAAACTTTCAAAAGATGGAAAACAATGCATAATGAGTTAAACTGGCTTTTTCACTCATTTGTTTTCATCTAGTCAAAGGCAATTGTAGATTGACAGAAGGCACTATGCAGGGGCTGGGAGAGGAATTTGGATTGGATGACATGTGCAGCATGAAAATGAACTTTGTTGACTGCTTAGTCTGTGTTAAGAGCGTTTTGTTAGTTGCAATGTGTGATAGTTGCAAAGAGAAAGTGGAGAAGTCCAAGATTCTAATGTATGTGATCTGTACTTGTGTGTCAGAATGGTAATACTCTTGTTTTAAATGCCCTTAATTGCTGATTCTCTCCCTCTCCCTTTCTCTGTATGTGTGTGTGTGTGTGTGTTTCTCTCTGTAGCTTTTATTTTTCAAAATAAATGTTTTATTATCACTAAAATTCAGCATTGTCATTTATACACTCTTTGATGGTAGACTGATGATCTTTAAGTCTGCCCTTTCACTTTTTAATTTAATGTAACTTTTCGTCTGTTCATTTTTTTCCCCTTAATTAGATCTGTTGAAAGATCTGGTATCCCCCAGAGACTTTGACTCTATCACTCATCTGGCCCTCATCAACGCTATCTATTTCAAAGGGAACTGGAAGTCACAATTTCGGCCTGAAAATACCAGAACTTTTTCCTTCACTAAAGATGATGAGAGTGAAGTGCACATCCCCATGATGTATCAACAAGGAGAATTCTATTATGGTATGGACCCTTGACTTCTAGGTCATTCTTCTTGTGGCATGCTAACAGATCTTTACAAAATTGTCAGAAATCCTCATTACTCACATCCTTGTCCATATGATGCAGACAGCAATTCAATATTCTTGGTGATATTTCAAATGCCTGCAATTAGATGCTGAGGGAATTTTATAGCCACCGACAGTTTTCCAAGGCACTTCTTTAATTTTATTCAGCCAATCACACCTGCCGCATGGCTTGATTCACCTAAAATATCTCACATGGTGCAAAAACAATAAATTTTAACTATGATTTTACTTTATAAAATCATTGGCTTTGCAGTGACTTTTACCTATGTGAGTCACCAAACACTGGATTAGATGAGGACTCCTTATGACTTTTTGAATTAGAAAATTACAAGCATTCTTCTTATACAACACTTTTTTTTTTTTTGGTGCTTGTTCTAGGGCTTGAACTCAGTGCCTGGAACTCTTGGTTGGCTTCTTGCTCAAGGCTGGTTTTCTACCACTTGAGCCACACCTCTAAATTGAGTTATAACAATTTTTCAAGTTGTAATCATAAATGTAATTGTAAGCCAAGTGTGTGTTAGAACTAATAGTTCTTTTAAAAGAATACCATAAGCCAGGCATCGGTGGCTTACACCTGTAATCCTAGCTACTCAGGAGGCTGAGATCTATAGATGGTGGTTTAAAGCCAGCCCAGGGAGGAAAGTCTGTGAGACTCTTTCCTCCAATTAAGCACCAAAAAAAGCCAGAAGTAGAGCTGTGGCTCAAGTGGTAGAGTGCTAGCCTTGAGCACAAAAACTCAAGGACAGTTCTGAGTTCAAGCCCAGGACCTGCATATACACACTAAAAGAATATGAAGAGATGATAATCATACTGCTTAAGTTAGCACTCAAAATATTGTAAGTGTAAATATGGAAAAATGGTTATTTACTGTAATATTTAAAAAATCTGTTTTAGGAAATATCCATAAGAACATATATATATATATATATATATATATATATATATATATATACACACACACACATATGTATTTGGCTAAGTTCACAAAGAACACAAAGTAAATTACCTCACTGATCTAATCACTTAGTTTGAGATCTTAATCATCACAAATACTCTGGACAAATACTGGAGGATGCTGAGATTTTATTTTAGCTGTGCAACACTGGCCTTGAAACCCGTGATATTAGAGTACCAGGTGTCATGATGTTCACTGCTGCCTTGCCAGAAGTCAGGTCGATATTAGTCAGTGTGATTTACATCCAACTCAGAGCCAGGACTAGAATTTTCAGCATTCCAGATGATGTGCTTTAAATGGACTGAATTATCTCATTTAGTAATAAAAAAATGTCTCAACCAGGCACCTGTGGCTCACACCAATAATACTAGCTGAGATCTGAGGATCATGGTTTGAAGCCAGCTGAGGCAGAAAACTCCCCATGAGACTCTTATCTCCTATTAACCACTCAAAAAAGGCAGAAGTGGTGTAGCATTCAGAGCATTAGCTTTGAGCATAAAGAGGCTTAGGGACAGTGCCCAGGCCCTGAGTTCAAGCCCTAGGACCATAAAAAAACAATAAATAAATACACATAGACATACATACATACATACATCTCCAGAACATGTCATGACAAATGAGAAATAATTCTGGAGATCCTCAAATACAATAAAAATGTGCAGAAATGAGGAATCTCCTTGCATTCTAGTGTTCATTTTCTTTCTTTCTTTCCTTTCTGTCTTGCTTTCTTTCTATCCTATTTTTTCTATACTTTCTTTCTTTTTTATGGTTCTGGGGCTTGAACTCTGGGCATAAGAGCCTTTTGCTCAAGGCTAGCACTCTACCACTTGGGCCACAGCACCACTTCTGGCTATTTCTGTGATTTCTTGGAGATAAGGGTCTCATGGACTTTCCTGCCTAAGCCAGCTTTGAACCTTAATCTTCAGATCTTAGCCTCCTGAGTAGCTAGCATTAGAGGCATGAGCTACCAGCACCTGACTCAGAGCTCATTTCATAACAAACTTCTTTTTCACATGTTTGAATTCCATGTTTTCTTTATACTATTTCAATAAAATGCATAACACATTTAAACATTTTTTAAAAATCTTTCACTTGGGCCTTTTTTATGGTGTTCTCCTTTTCAGGGGAATTTAGTGACGGCTCCAATGAAGCTGGTGGCATCTACCAAGTCCTAGAAATTCCATATGAAAATGATGATCTGAGTATGATGCTGGTGCTGTCCAGACAGGAAGTTCCGCTGGCTGCTCTGGAGCCCTTGGTCAAAGCACAGCTGATTGAAGAATGGGCAAACTCTGTGAAGAAGCAAAAAGTGGAAGTCTACCTGCCCAGGTGAGAATCTCCTAGGAGATTCCCTCCCATAGCACAAAAGGAGGGTTATCAAGGAAGGTCTGTCTCAGAAAATCTCTTGGCATGGTGTGTGTGTGTGTGTGTGTGTGTGTGTGTGTGTGTGTGTGTGTGTGTGTGTGTGTGTGTGTGTGAGATGTCTGTGGGGGACTAGGGCTTGATCTCAGGGTCTCACATTTGCTAGGCAAGCATTCTTGTGCTTGAACCACCAACCATTTTGCTTCTGCTTGGGATTATAGGCATACTCCAGGCTTGCTGACCTACTGCCCAATCTGACCCCTGTGATCCGCTTGATACCATATTCTGAGTAGCTGCCACTGATTTTGCATGTTGAATGCATAGTCCGACTCATTCTCTTCCTCCTTCCTTCCTTCTCTTCCTTCTGAGAATTCCTTCATACATATGTGGTCCTGCCCTGGGGTACATGTTACTCATGAATGCACTCAGTATTATATATCTAAACCTACATGTAGAGTTTAGATAGGATTCGATTATTCTCAGCCTTGTTTCAGCAAGCAATCCTCTAAATAGCATTCACATTGCTCGTTTTTTTCTGTTTTATTACTGAAGTTGAAGATAGCTGGATAGAAAACCATCTCTGGCATCACAGGAAGAACTCTAAGCAAATCAGGATGCTCAGTGCTTCTTTAAAGATATAATAAAAAACTAATTATAATAATGATAACACATAAATAACTAAAAATAAGTGACAAGAAGGAAAATCAGTCTTGTGACTGAGAGAATAAAAGCTAGGCAAGGGCTTTACTATCCCAACTACCATTCACTTCCTCAGCATTACCTCTGCCCATCAACGTTTTGTAACCTGCTCTACACGTTTCCTTCTAGTCAGGCCACACGCAGCATCCTCTGCATGCCTCCGCGTCTCCATGGCTATTTCCTAAAGCCTCCCTCCTCACACTCCTTTGCCAGATGTGGGTTTCTTGGCCCTGTGGTCAGCTCTCCCATCAGGTCTTCTTGCCGCCATCTGCAAATGGTCTGATGAGCAGATGATGTCACTGTTACCTCCTTGCTGCCCCTCCTCGCCATTACTATCCCATCCCACAGTACCTTTTGTGAGCTTGCTTTCCTTCTGTGAGTTTTTCCAGGCTAGAGCCTCTCTTCTCCTCCGCCATAGGGGGCATGCCTGGCAGCAAAGCTACACATCAGCTAACACATCCATATTCATAAACATAATGCATACATTTAGGCTAGGAAACAAGATTAATCTGTGTATATATTCTAACACTCATTCTAAATCAAGAAGAGCTCAAATATGATTAGTTGCGTGAGTATTGAAAGGTAATAAAGGATTAATAGGAACACTGAATTATTAAAAACTCATTAACTCCTTTTTATGTATTCTAATTTTAGGAATTGTTATTTAGCAGTTCTATCATGTAGATGCTGAGGTTTTCCCAAGCTTACCCGACAGTATGCTTGTGTTAATTAAGGAGATCTTTATGGAGCCTTAGGTATTTTGGCTTGAAACTTATGTCATGTTATGTATTCACAACAACCATACATCATGCATAGCAAGTATTTCTTAGTCTGCTTATAGAAATTATGGTAATCACAACCCAACACTAGGATAGTTAGCTGCCATGGCATTCCATGATAGTACATTTATCCAGAAAGATTCCACTGTAAGTGTATTCTCAAGAAGTAGTCAATGAATAGCTAATAAATTAAGTCAATTTGTAAAATATAGAAATTGATTTTTACATACTTAATATGCAAATAGTGTGTCATAGAGCTGACACACTATAAATATTGGATTTAATTAATATTGAATTTAAATTACTATCTAAGTCAGATCACACCTTTGCAAACCATTTAGTCCATTTTCATCCTCTTCTTTGTGATTTTTTTTTTCTGTTGGTCATAGGGCTTGAACTCTGGGCCTGGGCACTGTCCCTCAGCCCTTCAGCTCAAGGCTAGTGCTCTACCATTTGGGCCACAGCACCACTTCCAGTTTTCTGAGTGATTTATTAGAGATAAAAGTCTCAGGGACTTTTCTTCCCAGGTTGGCTTGAAGCCTCAATCCTCAGATCTCAGCCTCCTGAGTAGCTAGGATTATTGGCGTGAGTCACCATGCCTGGCTTCTTTTTTATCTTTTATACTGAACTCTGTATTTTTCTAACTGTATGTTTTTTGTCTTTTCTTTTTTGCTACTGGAGATTGGACCCACGATGTTGCACTTACTAGGCAAGCGCTTTGCCACTGAGCTACATCCCAGCCCTTAACTTTGTATTTTTTTTTTACATTTTGTAGGAGATTCCTTTTGAAACTCAATACGGTGTTAATGCATCCCTTGTTGAATTCCATAAGCCAACAGATACCTCTCCAAGAGCTTCAATTCTATGCTCCCGTAAAGTGGCTTTGGAGTATTTTAGCAGCCTTCTAAATGAATACTGAAGAAGTATCATGTATTCTCATTCATCCATGTTCACTAGAAAAATGTGGCCTCTGGGTCCAGTCCACCAAGAAATTGAACATTACAACGGAAGAAAATTAAATTTTCATTTTCTCAGAGATACTCTTCAATTATGAAATAGTTTAGCTTGCTTCCTTATATTAATGCCTGTTACTAAACTAGGCACAGCTAATTACTATGTCTCCATCTTCCTAGGAGTTTAATGAACTCTCCTCTCTCTCTCTCTCTCTCTCTCTCTCTCTCTCTCTCTCTCTCTTTCTGTCTCTCTGATGGCTAATGCAAAGTGGGAGGCTAAATAACTCAATGAGATAAATTTAGTTTCCCTTTTTAACACATTGACTGATTTCAAATACTTGTGTGTTATCATAATCAGTGGGGAACTATCTACTCTCCATGCTATAGCACTTTATAAATGTTGAAAGAAGGCAATGGATTCTGTGACCCAGTTTTAGAAGTAAAAATGTTGCTAATGACTGGATTCCAGGTTTACTCATCTATTTGCTTTTAACAGGATATTTAGTTTTGTTCATGTAAAGATACTATTCTGAACATTCAAATTTGCATTTCTATCATTATTTCACCACATCCCTGTCCTGCTTGTGCATACTTTTACTTTCACTTCTACTAGATTATATACACAGAGCTTTTAAAGTCATCCTAAAGATTTATAGGGCCTATAGGGTATTTGAGGTACTTTTCCATCAAAAAGACCTTAATAAATTCACATACACATAATAGCATGTATGCTTTCAAATATATTCTGAGACATTATATATTTTCCTAAGAATTTTCCTTTGAGACATACCATAGAACAATTTATTTCACAATCAATGGTTACTTTGGTTTAAAAAAATAAAGTTAAACCAATCCAACTTAATGTAAAATATACGATTAAGTCTAGTAATTTTATTATTCTTTGAAAATTGTATTGCATCTGTCAGTCTTATTTGTTTATATACATGAAAATGTTGAAAGCAATATCCTTGTTTCTTTCTCTTTGTGCTTGATTTGTACTTATAACACATATTTACTTCTAGTTCTTCTAAAGTCATCAGAAATATCACTAATGAAACTTTTACTGCATTTTGACTGAGCTCATTTAAAGACACAATCTATTGCCTAAAAACTTACATTTATCATGTACACTGAGGATAAATATTTGAAGTAATGTCTGAGAAAAAAGAAAACTTATGCTTCAGAGTGGTATGCAAGTCTTTTTTCAAGTATTACATGCCTCTAATGTTTGAAAATGTGTTCTCTGTCACAGGTGTGATTGCTTCATATCTTCCACTAAGAAGCTGGGTGATAGAGCTCAGTGGTTTGGCTTCTATTCCATATTTACCAATCTGGCTTATGGTGGAAACCATTTTAATAAAGTTAAGCTCTCATTGATGGACACTCTGCTCAATGTTTTGTTTTTCTTACAAAATCATCAGACACTTGTGCATCATAATTCACAGTCCATTAAAGCAAAAACAAAAAAAAAGAAAGAAAAGCCATTATTATTGTCAAAGAAAGCCCTACTGTAATCAAAATTCTTATAGTTTTTAAGATGTAATATCAAATGCACTTTCATTGGTAATTGGTTTTTCTGTGATGAAATCATAAGAATAGGATTCTTTATGTTGTAGGGGTTAATAGAGCCATAAACTTCAGGAGCATTTTTAATATGCTAATTTTTATGGAATTGAAATGCTTCATGTATTAGTTGGCCATCAGAACTTGGCTCTTCTGTATCATTGATCTGTTTGGACAGGAGATAAATGAGCAGCAAGAGTTGGCCAAGATACTAAAAAGAAAATTAAATACCTTAGGAGAATTTATGATTAGTTGCTGACACCTTGAAAAATCATGCAGATTACTTAACTGGGTTAAAAGATTTTGAAGATGAGTCATTTATAAGTTGTATATAGTAAAGTTTTTAAATTAAATATCAAATGTTTTTAACTTATGAATTTAAATGTCATTCTCTCCTGTCATTTGCCTATATTTTCTTATTACAGCCAAATGTTTCTTACAGTTCAAAGCCAGTTTTAGCATAATTTACCCTCTATAAAGTAGGTCTTTAAATAAATGATATTTAACACTTATCCCTGTTATGACAGTGTGATAACTAAGTGCTCCACTCCCTCCCCCCAAATATGTTTTCTAGGTTCACAGTGGAACAAGAAATTGATTTAAAAGACATTTTGAAGGCCCTTGGAGTAACTGAAATTTTCATCAAAAATGCAAATTTGACAGGCCTGTCTGGTAAGAAACAAATACCAACATTGGAAAAACTTCCACAAAAGCCTTTAAAAATGACAATGTTTCCATTTGCTTTGGAGTTCTGAGAAAGAATCTGGTTATTATTTGCCAAATAAATCTAGCAAGAAGTATATTTAACTTCAACAAGTGAAGTTATAACTAACACTGATATAATAACATTGTTTGTAATAACTGGTCCATGTTTTATTTTTGGTAGTTTATGTTCTCCCAAAATCTTATCTTAAATGCCTTTGAATTCTCCATCCCATCGGACATAATGCTTTGTAGAGTAAATAATCAATAAATGTGTTGATTGAACATCTCAATATATCTCACTACAATAAATCATATGGAAAAGAAAGTAGTAAGAGAAGATAAATGAGTGTACCCTGCTGTGAGAAGTTGACCAAAGATTCTGTTTAAAGAATAAAGAATACCCAGTGAGATGAGATAAACCTTTTCTTCAATCTTCAACCAAAACAAAGGTTTTGAAGCTTCAAAGTATACCAGCACATGGGGATATTGAGTAACTTATTTTTAGCTTCTGCCTTCACCCCCAATCTAGTTGAATTATTGGACTCAGGTACTTTAATTTCTTTGGAGAAAAAAAGTACATAAGATATTAGCAACACTAAAGCACTTAAAACTTGTAAAATGCTTTTGGATATGTTTTTAAGTAGTTAACACTCAAGCAATTTATCACTGATGAAAAACCACTTGAGGCTTAGTAAATTTATACAATGAGTGTTATTTCTGCCGAACAGAGAAAAAGTAGCATCTGTTTTCTAATAAGACAAAACATATACATATATATATATATATACACACATACATACATTCATACATACATACATACATACATACATACATACATACATACATACATATTAAGATAAAAGAAGCTCAACCTGTAAAACACCTTTATATGCAATTTTATGGAACCTGATTCCCCAACTAGAGATGACTGGCATGATCAAAGTTCCCTTAGCCATTCAAGTGTCACTGCAGAGAATTTATTCTCCTCTCCTGAATTAGTAGCATAGAGAAAATCAACTTGATAGTGTGCCCTTGCTTTTCAAGTTACTTATGTGCATGTACATGTACATGTGTGTATATGCATGTGTACTCTTGTGAGCATGAAATGTGAGCATGGAGGAGAGAGAGTGAGCAAAATCACAACTTCCAAAAAATTGTAATGCATTCTCTAATCCTTGCCTTCCTAGATTTGGGACAGTGCAGGTTGTTTTCTAAATAGCACTCAGCTTCCAGCTATGTGTAGATACTGATGCATTTGGTTCTACATCTTCTAGCCCTTGTGTGGAGAACTTATGCCCTCAGCACTAATAGGGCTTTGCTAAATGTCTACTGTATAAATGGTCCTGTCCACCCAAGAGAAATGAATTTTCCCTGGGGAAATGTTTTCAGAGCTCATATTCAAGTTTCCAGGGCTCCAACTCCTCTCTGGTGCTGTCAAGAGAGTAGAACTGGTAGATATTCTAAAGGTCATATCATATCAATAAATATATTCATAGTTGAAGCTGAGTTGGAGCATAATTTAAAGTTGTAATGCTTCCTTCCTTAGGAATGGATAGCCTATCTTGCCATACTGGCTGAATTCCAAGAAGAAAATTACATCTTGCTTTTTTTTTTTTTACATAACTATCTTTTCAGTTTGGTCTGTGATTCCTTGTTATTCACCTAAATATCCAGGCAGTTATTTTGCCCTAAATGTAATTCCTGCTGAGAGTCACATGCAATAGCAAATCAATTATTGTGGTCAGTATAACTTATGATTTCTGATATATTTGGAAAATTTATAAGGTAAGATTTAATTGTCTTTGCTGTGGGCTAAAATAATGGGCTATAAATTTACATTATAAATACAGATGGTTTGGAGATTTGTAAATAACAGAGAATCTTCTCAAGGATTCATATACTCTGCCTGCAAAGCAGTGATTTGTTTGATTAAACCTGTATGAAAATGAGATACTACTGTGTCCTGTTCATGGCTGAATTCCTGGTCACTGGCCCAGGGCCTTGGACAGAATGAGCCTACAGCATATATTAAGCAGAGAATAACAGTGATGGAGAGAAGGAAAGAGGTTTCTTTGGGTCCACCTCTACATTCCCTTGCTTGAACTATTTAACCTTCTAAAATGCCATCTGGAAATACAGTATCAGACATTCTTAAACCACCCAGTTCTAACTTTCACCATGAAAGCTGAACAGATGGGAATTCTTTGTTCTTGAATGATTAGTTTGGCCTGCGTGTTCCTAGTTTTTTGCATGTCAGCTGCCCCTACAAACACATCTTTTTACCTCTCTCTTTGGCTATCATTAATTTATGAATCATTCATTCAAGAACATCTACCACAACTATAACTTGCTAAATTCAGTCGTATTTTATGTTTGCATCATGTATTTAGACATCATATGCCCTATCTTACACGGTTGGATATTTTCTTGCATGGCTAGTATTTTTGCTTCTCCTAATTATATGAAAACCTTGATGGCTACACTTCTTGTGATTTCTACTAATCCTTGCAAGTATTCCAGAGAATTCAGTGAGAATCTTGTGGTCATGTCTGCCATTTATACACCCAGAGATGAGGCGAGTTGTGTGAGAAAAACAGCTGGCAGAAAAATTAGGAAATGATTAGAATAGTATGCCTGACCTGAAGGAACATGAAAGATTTATGAAGAGACAAATATAACAGCTGGGTTTATTACAAAGAAGGCTGGTGGTGGAATGTGTCAGTGGAATAGTGCTTCTTGACAAATGCAGTTTTGCCTCTACCATGTCTTTCTTCCCAGGGAATACATGGCAACCCCTGGAGACTTTTTTGGTTGTCACAGCTGGGGAATGCTATTGGTACCCAATCGTTGGGATCAAGGTTACCTCTCTACATCTATAATGCACCAGTCAGCCCCCCTCCACCAAGAATGTCCCATTCCCAAATGTCAACAGTAAAGGAAAAGAGAAACCTGACAGTAAAAGAAGTATGACAGAAATGGGTGGATCTGGAAAATAGCTTGAGCAAAATAAAGCAGGCACTCAGAGACACAAAGCATGAATGCTTTCTCCTATACGTGGATCTTAGACCCAAAAAGCAACCTCTCATATGAACATATATAGAGACATGTTCTTCTATATATGATTTAGTTGATTATAGTATACAGAGGAGGGAATCTCCATGGAATAAACCTTCTGAACAATTTAGAGTTTAACAAGCTGACTATTAGGAAGTTGAGTGAGATTGAAAGGTGGGGAGTGGGAGGGAGTAGATGAATGAAAAAGGGAACTGGGGGCAAATACTTCCAGAATACTCAGTGTGGATATGTGAGAAAGGAAGAGGAGAATGTGAAATGAGTCTGGAGGAGACAGCAGGCGGGATGGAGAGTAGGCTGGAAGGAATGCTTCTGTACAGGTAGCACTCGGAACATACAACCTACATTATGTTATAACCCCCTTTGGACAAATATATTACTTAATTTTTTAAAAAAGGAAATAGAGCCAGGTGCCTCTAGTCTTAGCTAATCAGAAAGTTGAGATCTGAGAATTGTGGTTTGAAACCAGCCAGGGCAAGAAAGTCCATGAAACTTATCCCCATCTAACCACCAAAATGTCAGAAGTGGAACACCAGATTTGGGCAAAAAAAATTCAGTGACAGTTCTTAGACCCTGAGTTCAAGCCCTAGGAGTGGAACATTAAAGAAGATGAAGATGAAAAGGAGGAGGAGGAGGAGAAGGAAGAGGGGGAGAGGAGGAGGATTGGAAAAGGAAAGGAGAGAAGAAGGGAGGAAAGGAGAGGAGAGGAGCATTGAAAGATACTTGGGAGAACTTGAATCAAAAGACAGAAGGGAAAATACATGAGTATGTAGGTTCTTAAACACATAGAATATTTTTTAAGTGACTGCAATAGTTGGCTGTAGGACACAGGACAGAAGGCTTGGTGAGAGGGAATTTCTTCACATGTCCCACTGGGCACCACTAGAAATCTTACTTTGTATATGAATTACTAAGATTCGTATACAATTAGGAAACAAAATTTAAGTGTATTAATAGTAGAATAAATTAGTGAATTTGAAAGTATCCAGAGAAAAATTCAGTGCTATTATGATATTGTCATATTCTTAAACTATGTAATGAAGGTTTTCTTTCTCTTCAAAACTAGTACACGTGATTTAGCATTGGGGTGAAACAAATCATCAGCCCTGTTTCGCCTTGTCTTGCTTCTAGAAGTGTTCAATAGCTCAGAATCCCTTACTAAGACCTCTTCAGCCAAACTCTTTCACTTTTTATCCTCTTACATCCACTCTTGTTTCAGAGTCTTATTACTATTCTCCCGAACTATTTCAATCGTTTCCTAAATGGTTCCCATCTATCTGCAATCTAATCCCTTTTACCTGTCCCTGCTGAGGTTCATCACGGGAAACTTGCCATCAGCTCATTGTGTGCCTCAACTATTCCCAAGCCACAGCTCCCTTCCGCCTTCATGGTGGCTGATTCTGAACAGACAGGATTGGGTTCCAGCCATCCTGCACACCGGGTTTCCATTTCATATCTCTGCATCTCCCAGACATGATGCAATCATTCCCTCCTGAAATACTTCTTGAAATGAGCTCAGAATGGCCCCCTGGTTCACCCTGTCACCACGATTACACCCACCAGCAATAACCCCTCATGACGTTCCCAGATCTTATTCCTTTTGAATATTTTGCTTCTGTTTGCGACTACTATCCCCCAGAGAATTTCACCTCATGAAGAGGGGTCCTTAAATGTGTTCTCGGGGCTTCCCACATCCTTCCCCGCTTCTCCTGTGAGGAGATGAGATGATCAGTATTTGTGCTAATTATTCATCTCATTTGGTATCCAGTCCTTTTGACTCTAGACTCCATTAGCATAAAACACCGTCAAGATGCATACAGTAGACATAAAATAGAGGGAGTGCAGAAAGTCCTTTTCATCTGGGGCTCTCTGTTTAAAATGCTCACCTCCTAGCAGCAATGATCCTGTTATTGAGTAAGGCTATTTTTGTAATGGAAATGAAGGACTGTCAGCATTTGGATTAATGAGTAATCCCCAGAAAGGTGTAAGGGGAAGGCAAAGAGAGTATTAAATCCTTCCACATAAAGCACTAGCTTTAATAAAGGAGCCAATAAAATAAAGGAATTGAAAAGACACAGCAAAAGCTATATTCGGGGCAGACTCATGGGCTGTCGATTTATGGCAGCCTGGCTCCTCCGTTCTGCCCTTGTTTGCTCTCCTTCTCCTTCACCTGGATGCCAGAGGGCTCATTCCTCCGCCATTGCCACCATGCCAATTTCACCAATCAACTTTCTTCCCTGGACCATTGCAACCGCTCACAGACTTGATCTTCCTGCCTCCAGCTACCTCCTCATCTAAAATCAAAACAGCCTTGGCCCATGATTTCTCCACAAAGCCTAGGTGTTCTAATTCCCTGGCCCAAGCTCTTAAAAGGATGTCCCCCCCTCCACACACTAGACCTTCCAAAGTCCTCTCTGCTGCTCTCCTCACTTAGCACAGCCAGTGCTGTGTGTGACATACCCTTCTTGCCCATAACCTTCTTTGATCGACACGGGTCTCCTTATGGTCACTTTCCCGGGGTACCCATCCTCCCCTATGGCTGCTTTCATTTCCTTCTTCTGGCATCTGGCAGTACTTGGCACCCACATTGGTTGGCTAGCATGGTGCACCATTTCTGTGGACTATTGGTCTGCTGTTGTACTGATCAGGGAGCTGGGAGAGACTGCAAGAGGGAGGGGCTCTGTCCTCATCCACCAGTTGGTGTCCCAGGGGTCAGAGGCTGGGCTGTGAGGCCAGGTGTACAGGATGGGTGCGGCCTGGCCTGGCTGTGCTCAGCCTACCTGCCCTCCTCCCACACCGTTGGCCACACGGGCTCCTTGGGGTTCTTGAGCAGGGTTCTTGTGTTTGCCTGGCTTTTAGCTTTTCTCTCCATCCACAGTGCCCCATGGGCCTTCCATGGCTGGCCTTGTTTTTAGGACTTCAGTCTCAGCTTCCCATTTACTCTTTACAGACACACCTTTCCTAGGATACACTCTGCCCCAGTCTCTTCTTCCTTGTTCTAATCACCCATCAACACAGTATGTTATCTAGATGTTTTTATTGTTCTTTTGTATAGGACAGCTTTCCCGTGTGAGGAGGGATGTCTTTAGTTCCCCAGGCTGCACCACAGGGTCTGGTACATAGTAGCTGCTCAGCACACGAATAAGCACAGGAACCAAACAATAGATACCTGGTCATCTGCTGGTTTTATCCAAAAAACTCTCCAGAGAAGTAAATGAAAGTTACCTTGAAGCAGTGGAATTCCAGGATGTTTTCTGAATTTCCTGGGTGGGATCATAATGAAAACTATTGTAACAACTAAAGCCCAGAGACCTTTCTGCTGTCTGAGATCCTGTTACACACTTACACACGGTCTTTGTGCTGTGCTTATGTTTGAAGCATGCCCTTGGGCAATGAGGAAATTATTTAAATTGACTGTGTTTAGGAACAGTGCCCCAAAGGAAGCCATGGCTTATACTAAGGCGCAATGACCACCACCATGCCAACATTCTCCTAACACAGAGCAGTAGCACCCTGCTCTACACCAGATGTGGAAGAGGAATTGATAAGTATTTGCTCAGTGAAATAAAAAAAAGAAAGAGGAAAGGAAGGAAGGAAGGAAGGAAGGAAGGAAGGAAGGAAGGAAGGAAGGAAGGAAGAGAGGAAAGGAAGGAAGGAAGGAAGGAAGGAAGGAAGGAAGGAAGGAAGGAAGGAAGGAAGCAAGGAAGGAAGGAAGGAAGGAAGGAAGCAAGGAAGGAAGGAAGGAAGGAAGGAAAGAAGGAAGGAAGGAGAAGGAGGGAGGAGAGGAAAGGAGGGAGAGAGGGAGGGAGGGATGGAGGAAGAGAAAGAGAAAGAAAGGAGATCATGAAGAGCAGAGACCCAGGGAAGAATGACAGCTGAGATGGAGTAGTCTATCGGTAGAATTCCTCTTTGCCTGAAGGAAGTCTTTGTCTCATTAGGTCTTTCAACTGATGAATGAAGCCAATCCATTCACTATGAGGGCAGTTTGCCTTATTCAAATTCCTCTAATTTAAATGTAATCCCATTCAAAACATCTTTATCGAAATAGAATGATGTTTGGGCAACTCCCTGCACCCCATGACCCAGGAAAGTTACTAAGAAATTCATCTTGTCTTATTTTAATATATTTATTAGCATCAATTAGACATCCAAGGGAGTTTCATTTTGACACGTCCATGAATAAATATAATGTGCCTTGAGCAGATTCACTCCTTCCATCTCTCTCTTATCTCTTCTCTCCCTTCCCAAACCAATCGCAAAAAGACTCATTGTTCAATTTTCACACAAATATTTTGACCATAGCCATTCTCCAGCATCCTCTCTCCATTCATCCTCCCCTCCCCCAACAATACATTGTGGGTCATGTTTTACCTTCCTGTCCTTCATTTTTTAAAGAAAAATCCTTTAACCACACCACAAAATCTTGGAGGTGAATACTTCAAGATATAAACTCAAGGCGAACATAGTTAGCCATAATGCCCATTAAATTTTTTTAAAGAACCACAAATATATAGGCAATTTACTAAAAGTGTGTTATTTCCTCCTACCAAGTGGTAACACATTTGTGATCCGTAGATAAGCCAGTAAGCTAGAACAGAATGGAACTTCATTTCTGAAACAAGCTACAAGTCGATTATATTTTTCTTTGCCAAGGACCTCTCCATTATTGCAATGATCACAGATGAGTTTTAAAAATATGAATTTAGTTATTTCTGGATTTTTACTGACTTCATTATGTACTTTTAATTTCAAAATTAAAGAGCAATGTGTAAGGTATTTTTATCTTGAGTTATGGACTAATTTGAAATCCCTACTTAAATCAGAGTTTCTGCTTTTTCTGGCAATAGAGGAAATAAACAATGGAAAACTACCAATGAAAACAAGAGGGAAAAATGAACAAGATTAAAAATGAGAGCAAATGAGAAAACCCAACTTTAGTGGTCTTCTCTGATCATAAAATGAAATCTAGCATTATCTCTTGTCTTCTATATCAATATTGGCATTTCTCCTATCTCTCAGACTCATTTTGTTATTTTATAATTGGGTTGTAGTAGTAGTGGTAGTATCTTTATGCAGCTGTACTAGGGAGTTTCCATTAAACATGCTAGTTTGTGAGTACGATGCATCTTGTCAGTGTCATGATCATTGTTTGATTTTTTTAAAGGGACAAATATTTTCCTAGCCCTAATTTTTTTTCTCTTTGCAGATAACAAAGACATGTTTCTTTCCAAGGTGATTCACAAATCCTTCCTAGAGGTTAATGAGGAAGGCTCCGAAGCAGTGGCTGCATCAGGTGTATACTAAATCATGTTCCAAAATTCTCTCACCTCTTCTATGATTAAATTTTTAAACAATGGGGGGGGGGCGGGGAGGACTGTAATCAATCACTTGTGAACTAGAAGGCCAGAAAATGGGCTGGAACTGCCAGAATTTCCTAATAGGATAAAAAGTATATATTTAAGCCAGCTCCCTTTTAAAATTTACTTCATTCTAATTTTTTCTTAATGAGGGACTGGACAATTTGGACCCTTTCTGGGAAAATGGAGTCTCCTGTTGTGTTATCCACTTAAGTATTTTAAATATCTGCCTACTAGCCACTTAGACATTGTTCCTTCCTCTCTAATTACTTTCAGAAGTTGGTTCTTAATTTTGCCAGTATAAATGTTTTGAATGTTACAAAGTGCACACCTAAATAAGAGCATAGTATATAATTTTTGAAACTTTTAACTGAATTGTAGAAATAAAACAATATATTTTATTTATTTTCCTTGATATCAATTCCATGTCCAGGGTACCAGGACAAATACCCTGGCTTATTCTGATAGTTATGACTTCTCTGGTTAAATGATTTTATTATCGTGAGTTTCTAAAAATTTGTTTTTATTTGCTTCAATCTCATGTTCAATGATTAGCACCACATTTTAGTAGGTGTTTTCTCCTTTTAGTGGTATGTTGGCTTATTTGTACATTTTATTTCTAACTTTACTATTGGCAATAGCATTTCCAGAGGGCAATAGAAATATACTAATCCCTGATATCATGAAACTTCTTCAATCTGGGTTTTTATTTTAACAACTACGCAGACTGCATCCAGTGTATCAGAATTTGAGAAGGATTCACTATCCCCTCTGAGGACGCACATCACACTTCTCACTGCTGGATGGCCTCTCTAACTGCAGTCTTCCTGGCCACATTCTACAATCCCGGAGCCTTGCTATGCACAGATACCCTTTGTAGACAATAGAAACAATGACTCAAAAATGTGCTGAACACCAGTAGCTTACCCTGTAATCCTAGCTGCTAAAGAAACTGAGATCTGAGGATTTTGTGATTTGAAGCCAACCTAGGCAAAAAAAAACTTGGGAGATTTTTTTAACTCCAAATGCACATCAAAAACCCTGGCTGTGGATCTGTATCCCAAGTGATAGAGTACCAGCCTTAAGGAATAAAAGCTAAGGGACAGATCTCAGGCCCTGAAGTCCCATTATACCAGAAAGAGAGAGAGAGAGAAACTTCATTTTTCATTTTGCAAGATTTTTTCTTTTATCTCTTAATGTAAAGATGGTTTGTTAAAAGTGCAAATATTTATCTTAGACCAAGATTAAACTTTTATAACAGAATAAATTGTGTACAATTTTGTTTAACAGAGGGGAGGAAACTGCATGTTTATATGTGTATGTATGTGTTTTGTTTTGTCTTTTTTGAAGAATCAAGGGCAAGTACTAGAGGGGGTGAAATTGATTGGGATACAGTGTAAATGTGTGTGGAGATGTAACAATGAAATCCTCCCACATAAGCTAATAAAAAATAAGAATAAACTAAAAGAAAGCATCAAATAGAAAGGTTAATACTCCGATGATGTTCCTCTCTTTAAGTCTTAAAAACCTTGTTTACTGTAGGTGGTTGCCTTTGCGTTGAGAGGATAGATAGAGACAGCGTTGAGAAATGACTCGCTGTTCCCTGCACACCCACAGACATGTAATTACTTTCTCTCTGCACCACAGGAATGATTGCAATTAGCAGGATGGCTGTGCTGTATCCCCAAGTGATCGTAGACCATCCATTTCTCTTCCTTATCAGGAACAGGAGAACTGGTGAGTCTGTTATGGGAACAGAACTTTATTTTTGGTAAGCCGCAAAGGAACTTCCTTCCATACATGACTTCTTATGCCATAGCATTTATTCCATCAATTTTAGTGTTCAAATGATTCTTTTAAAGAAAACCACAGTATGTGTTTTATATTTGGAAGTCTGCTTATTGCATGCAAGAGAAAAATAAATGTTGAATTCTTTTCTTCACTGACACAGGTATGATCTTGTTCATGGGCCGAGTCATGCATCCTGAAACAATGAACACAAGCGGACATGATTTCGAGGAACTGTAAATGGCTTCATTTCAGTAACAAGGAAAGATTAACAAAGCACATTACGTCCACAGCTGGTATATATATATACAGTTAGGATTGGTATCTTACCATATATCTTTAGATAATATTACAAATAGCTCTAGATAGAAATAAATATATGTGTATTATAAGTCAATCTGTCAAAGGAATGTTATCAGTATTAAAGACATGGTCTTGTTCCTGTCCATGTGTGTGTTGTGCTATTGTGTAAAATAAAAGTACCTATTGAATACGTGAGCAGGTATTTTCCATTTTAGAAATAGCGGTAGTATATAGATAACTTTAGGTGACATTTGGAACCAATGATATTCCGTTGGGAATTGTCATGTGAAAATACCATCAGATGAGATTTGGAAAGTGGTATTTCTGAGCATTTTAAATCCTTCACCATCCTGCAGAACTGAAGCACCAAAGTAAATGAGCATTATACGCTTCCAAACAATGAGCAATTACATGCACTGGGAAGGCAAGTACTGCAGGAAATTTCTAGTGATCATTTGTTTACGAATCAGTATGGAAAATAGTATAAGAAACAAATATTTATCTGAAATATTCATCAAAACTTGTTAAAAAGAGAAACAAAAACAAAAACCAGGGCTATAGCTGTAGCATTATTGAACACTGGGTTCCTTCTACTTACAGACACATTGACTACAACCAGTATAGGTAATGTCAGCAGCTACCTAACACATCTTTTTACCATGTGTCTCAGTTGCAGCTAGAGGCCAGATCATGTGATTGGCTGATACCACCTAGGTTTGTGTAGGTATCTCTTGAGATGTTCAAACAAAAATGAATCACCTAATAACCCACATCTCAGATCAAACCCCAAAGTTCAAGCAAGCATGAATAGACTAATTATTTAGGTATCATTACTTTATGGAAGACTAGATCGTGAAGCAATGGCATGTGTGAGATCAGTGCTTCTCAAATTTCACGTGTGACAGTCACCTGGACATGTTATTACGGATGCAGATTCTCATGCTGAGGGCCCTAGAGAGGCCCACCATTGTCAATCTCTATCAAGCTCCTTCGCTGTTCGTGTATGGACTTGGCTCCTTGTTGCTTTGCTTCTGGAGCAACACTCTCCTTAATTTAAAGTTTGCATGTGTAATATTTTTATAAATAAAAAACAGAAAACCTATGTAATTTTCATAAAACATACAAGAATTCCAGGTACGGTGGTAATCTGCATTAATAATGCAATGCTCATTTTTAATGAAAGGTTTGGTTCTAAAGTGTTTATTCCTATTGCATTCTATTGATGAATGTATTTTTCCTGCATAGTAGAATACTTGAAATGTATTCTTTTTAAAAATGAAAACATGGAGACATTTATGGGCAATACCCCTAAAATAATTTATGACTCATCCAAGTATGCAATACTTAACACTGAATCTTTTACAGCTTATATTTTCAGAAGACTTATAGTTTGTTCATAAATCTTAAATTTATTGCAGAATAGTGTTCTGATTCTTATTTATAATTTATATAGTCTGGATTAGCTGATGTTGGTTGAATATTGTTATTCTGAGTGTGTAATATTCCTAATAACTATATCGCTTCTTGTTAAGTATTATGTAAAGTGTTTTATCTATATGTATTACCTATAAGGAAGAATAAATGTCCTTGTACAATGTGTAGATTTTATAAAGCAAAAAAATGTAGTTTTATTAACTAATCTAAGATTAAGTTCCATCATACAAAAATGCTTATCTTCAAATATATTTCAGTACCATGTAGGTGCCATTTAAATGAAAACAAATCTTACTTTGTTATTAGCATGCTTTGGGTATGGTAAAGGATAGTATGTTTCCCCTTTGCTTAAAATGTCTTTAGTATTTTCCTTCTTGAAAAAGTAGCAGTGTACAGTTCAGTTTGTACTTCATTTAAGATGACAGCATACACATACAACACATAGCACATTCAGTTTACAAAAGTGGTTTTTGCTCTCTGAATATATTTTTTGGAGAACATCAATAATGATTATATGGTTTTTGCTTTTTATCTACAATCATAATTTTACTTTTTTGTATGTAGTCAGTAGACTAAATTGAATAGAGAATATAATCCTATGCATTTTGACAACACCAAAATGACTGATTGTTAGATTTGACTTGGACACCAGAAAAGGTTGAGTCTGTGAAAATAATGGAAATAAAGAGAAAATATGGCAACCAACATATTTCATTCTCTTTAAATGTGTATGTTAACCATAGTTAATTGTTTTGACAAATAACCAGTGTCCTGAATTTATAATGATAGCTATTCTTCTTCTCTGAAAAACAAAATGAAAATAGCCAGCGGCATGTCGAGGATTGGCTATAGTAGCTTGCGAGTTATGTTTGTGACGCGCAAGTCTTTGTTGTAATCTTGAGAAAATAGGATGGATCATAACACACAAAATGCACTGATCAAAACATGTGTAACTGTCCCTCACTCTCAACATCTCCCCCGATTCCCGCACATCTCAGAGGGCCTCTGTGTAAAACAGGCAGGCTGCCAGGCTGAGCTAAACCACTTCATTTAAGCTCTGCCCCAGGTGATGGACTCCACAAAGCTCATTCCAGCCAAACCCGGATGTTGCTGTTTCCTTGCAGGAAAACTAGCCTGTTAATATTTTAATGCATTTTTAAAATTACTGGATGTCACTCAAAACTTCTCTCCAGCTAGACCAGGATATATAACTCAACGGATATTCCACACCTCAATGAACAGGAGCCAAATTAGCTCTAATTCCATCCTGATCCTTTTAAAAAAAAATGGTGAGCTTACTAATGGTGGTCTGCTTTCACTAGCATGGTGTCAGCGTAAGGCAAGACCAATGAAGGCGTGTGGTGGTGTGGGAAAATCTCCACCCAGCATCCTACAAGTGTGGAGCTGTGAGACTCAGGGGCTGGTAAAACCACTTCTGGTCCACTACCAGTGATATCTCAGCAACAAGGATTTAGTTACTTTTGTGTCTTGAAGCTGAACTACAAAGCCACTCCAACTAGTTTTCTATCAGGTTGCATGTGTGTGTATGTTTCTGTATATATGAGAGCTTGCAGTGGGTATGTTTCATGAGAGCTTTCTTGTGTATTTGCATTTTTCCCTTCATGTTTATTTCAATAGCTCACTGTCTAATTGGAAACTTTTCTCCACAGTGTTATTAATAAATAAGAGAATGCCTTTCACATCCATCATTATTTATTGGGGAGTAGCTTATGTTCCCTCCAGATGTTTGATGATGCTTATTCTAAAACTGGGGGAAGCAATGTATTTATAATATGAAACCCATTCAGACAGAATTTCTATGCTTATGTGTCTCCATGTGGAGCTTCTGACTTGAGCTCTCCAACATTTTAAATAGAGTGAGAATAGTTGTAATCTAAAAGACACACCAACATGTCTTTTAGGTTGAGATCAATTAAATGACTAACCAAGTAATATGCAGTTAAGTAATTGAAAAGGGACTAAATATCGATCTATTTAGTTATGCCACTGCCTCAGATACACATATCAAGTTTATCAGCCTTGAGTTTGTAGGTGAATATCTTTTCCAGTGTAGACTTTCTTTTTTTAAAAGTTTTTTTTATTGTGAAAATACTGTACAGAGGGGTTACAGTTACATGAGCAAGGTAATGAGTACATTTCTTATCAAGCATTGTTGCCTCCCCCTTTGTTTTTTCCCTACCATCCCTTCCCTCCCCACTTCCACAACTACACTTCCCTCACCTCCCGTGGAAATTGTAAAGTTTGTTGTTCAACAGTGTCTTGTACATCTCATTGTTACAATGGGTCAACCTGTATCCCTATTTAAACATTTTGTTTTGTTCCCTTCCCCTACAGAAGTTATACCGACATCAAATACAGGGAAAACAGGGGTTATACTGTGGAGGAGGAACATACAAAGCAACAAAAAAATCACATGGTGGGGCTGGGAAGGTGGCTCAGTGGTAGAGCGCTTGCCTTGCATGCCTGAGGCCCTGGGTTCAATTCCTCAGCACCATATAAGCAAAAAGAAAAAAGCCGGAAGTGGCGCTGTGGCTCAAGTGGTAGAGCGCTAGCCTTGAGCTGAAGAGCTGAGGGACAGCACCCAGGCCCAGAGCTCAGGCCCCATAACCGGACCCAAAAAAAATTAAAAAAAAATCACATGGTACATTATAAATACGTTAGAAACAATATCAAGAAAGAAAAACCATTTGTGTCCCTATCTTGGGGTTCATTTCGCTAACATATGTACATAGCTTTTGACCTTTTCTGCTTGTCCCAGACATATACAAGTTATTGCAAGTAAGGGAAACCAGGCCCAAAGAAACACAGGTCCTAGACTTGTTTTTAAAATGACTTCTCTGGGGGCTGGGAAGTTGGCTCAGTGGTAGAGCGCTTGCCTTGCATGCCTGAGGCCCTGGGTTCAATTCCTCAGCACCACAAAAAGAAAAAAGCTGGAAGTGGTGCTGTGGCTCAAACACTAGCCTTGAGCTGAATAGCTGAGGGACAGCGCCCAGACCCAGAGTTCAGGCCTCACGGCCTATGTGTCTTCCTATGGGCTATGTGTCTTCCTATCCTATCAAGTCTGCAATTTAGAACATTTGGATTATTTACTGGAATTATTGATGTATGTATGTTCGGTGCACCTGCTTTATTTTTCATTCCTTTGCTTACCCTTTCCTGCTTTCATTAGAAATATCTGAATATTTTCCTACTACATGATCTCAATGTATTACCTATTGAATTTTCACTAGCTCTCTGGGTATCTTGCAGTGATTGTTCCAGAGATTATACAGAAAATTTTATAGTCCACTTAATATTAATCTTTTCTTTTTCTTAATATTTCTATTTCATGTAGAATGTAGAAACCTTACAATATTTTAGCTCCTTTACCCTACTTCATATTTTAGTTAGCAAATACACTATGTGTACACATCATGAAGAAATACTATAAAATAATAATAATAGCTTTTGTTTCCAACTATTATATATTTTTAAATAGTTGAGAGGGGAAATTTAACTTTTGTTTTATTTGCTCAAATATTTATTTCAATTTGGTGATTCTTCCTTTGTTTGTGAAGCTTTCAGGTTCTTCTGGTCCTTCTCCCTTGAGAACTTTTCTTTAGCTTTTCTCCTAGGAAAGACCTATTAGTGAGAAGAGCTTTTAGTTTTTTCTTCATCTGAAAATGTCTCCATTTCACTTTTATTCATGAACAACATTTTGTAGGTTGACAGTTTCTTCCCTTCAACACTTTGAATATGTT